TTTTTTTTTTTTTTTTTTTGATGGTGGTGCTGGGATGAAACTCCCGCTCTTGGGTATACCAGGCAAGCCCTGCGCTGCTGAGCTACATCTCCTGCCCAACACACACTTTATGAATGACCACGGTATCGGGTTTGTTCTCCTGTCTTCTCATTTTGGTGTTTTCTGCTATTGTTTCTTTGGTTTCTTTTGCAGCACTGGGGACTGAGCCAGGGCCTCATGCATGCTGGGCAGGGGCTGTCCCACTGGGCAGTGTCCCAGCCCCTCATTTTGCTTTAGCTCCGCAGTAAGCTCTGCTGAGACAGGAGCGGTGGTGAACTCGGACCTGGGGAAGAGGTGCTGGGTCTCCAAACCCCTTGCAGTTGGTGCAGCCCTCAGGGAGGGGGCTGGACTTACAGGCTTCGGGGTGCAGCCCTGACTCAGGAAAGGGGTCCTGTGACGGAGGAGATGACCCAGAGTTAGTAGGACCCTCAGACTGTGATGGGCCCCAGTGGGGACTTTCCCGACACTCTAAATACAGAGGGCGGCGCTGAAAAGAGCGCCATGCACTGAGATGCAGCCCTCGCTGGGGATGGACCTGGCCTACGACCCAGCCCCTTCCCTTGAAGGCCGAACCCCAACTGGCCGTCTAGAAAATGAGCTGCCACCTGGATGCTTTATGAGGGGCATCCTCTACTCTCAAATTCTCTGGACCCCTAGATGGGGGTTGTGGTTGCTTTGTGTCTTCTGGGGCCACCTGGCTGGCGCTGCAGGGACCAACCTTGTGCTTTGCAGGTGCCTGTCCCAGCGATGGCAGCGTGGTGGCAACGCGTCCAACTCCTGCACCGTCCTCTCGCTGCTTGGAGCCCCCTGTGCCTTCATGGGCTCCCTGGGCCCTGGCCACGTTGCTGAGTGAGTCCAAGAGCGGGTGCGGGCTGGGGTGTGGGGAGGAGAGTGTCCAAACCCCGGGGTGGGCCAGGCAGAAGTGCACGGTTGGAAGCCTCCGGAAGGGGGAGCAGGAGAGGAGACTCCCAGCCCCAGGTGGCCTGGCTGCTCTTCAGGTGTTAACATTGATCCTGTGAAGCTTTCTTTCCGCAGCTTGCAATGAAGCCTGCATAGGCTTCCCAACTTCTTCCTCGCTTCCTGCAGACTCTGCGGTGCCCTTGCCCTTGCCCTGTCCAGTCCCTTATCCTGGCTGTGCTTGAGGCAGAGGGCGTTTAAGGACACGCTGTCCTACCCTGCAGCATCCATGGCCCAGGGTCGAGGCCCACAGTTTACTTCCCAGTTGAGAGGCGGGACCCAGTGTTCATGTCCTTGTTGTTCACTGAAATAGCAAGAGTGCCCTGTTCGGGTCATCCCAAAGCCACGTGCTAAAGCCGAGCCCAGACCCCACACCTCCCAGCTGGATGCCCAGGCTGTAGCCCATGAGTAGCCCATGCAAGGTGTCCCTGTTGGCTGCTGCAAGGACCTGGGAGCCCTTTGGCCCCTGGCACTGCAGACTCAGCAAGCACGTATCGGAAGGTGAGGCCCACACTTTGCCCAATGCGAGTAGCAGGGCAGGCTGCCAGGATCCCGGCCTGTGACACGCAGCCCTTTGAACCCTGATTTGAGAGAGCCGCTGTCAGAATCCAGCCACCTGCACGATGGATGGCTACAAAACGGGACGGCAACCTGCCCTGGGGTGGGACAGAGGGACTCAGAGCCAAGGGCTGTCACTCAGCTTCTTCAGCAGCTCCTCCCCTCCCAGTTGGAAGCAGGACTGTGGCTCTTTCTTAGGGTGATGGACTCCTCTTTGCATAGCAGCCATGCTGGCCATGGGCCAGTCCTCCTCTTGCGTCCCACACACACTCAGGGAGCACCCACCACGTGTCAGGCACTGCAGGCACAGAAAAGTATCTGGCAAAGCAAACTATGCATCCAGTGCTTTGGTAGATCTGCTGTTTAAAGGACCTCTGAGCTGTAAGACAGGGAATGATGTCCTGATTTGGTGCCCACAACCCTGACCTGTCCAGCTTTGGTGTTGCTGAAAGTGGGGTCTGCTCACAGAAAATCCAGCTGGCACTGCTGGGCACAGCTGGGCACAGCTGCCATCTCTCAGGCACAGATCAGCGCTTTTCCCAGAATGGTTGGGAAGGATGGGGCTGGCCTCCCATCCTCCGGCTGCTGCCTCTTCCTGAGGGAAGTACCTAGGCTCATTCTGCTGCAAGGGATTATGGGAAACTGGCCTGGACCAATCCCAGACCAAACACTGGGCCTGGGGCACTGGGAGCCAGCTCAGGGCCCCGGGGATTAGGCTGGCTGTGAGAGGACGGGCAGTGAGGAGAGCCACCAAGGTGGCACCGCTTTCTGGCCGGCACCCTGGAGTCGGTGTGGAATGAGAGGAAACGCTGTGGACTAGAGAAGATGTCCCATGGGATGAGCATGCAGGAGGCAGCTGGTCGGGGGTTGGCAAAGTGTCACCTCAGTGATTAATTATTAATTCTGCCTGGGCCTGGCATGAAGCAGGTCAGAGTGCCCACACCAGCAGGGTTCAAGTTCTAGGCCCAACTCTACCCCCGTCTAGCTTTATGAGCAGCAGCAAATCCTTACCAGCCTGAGTTGGACTGTGAGACGACATGGTTGGATTGGTGGCAGTCAGGACCTGAACTGGGCCCCTTGGTGCTTCCCTCTGAGCTCCTGGCTCTGCACCCCTGCCTCTCCTGCCCCCTCACACAGCCTGTAGGAAGACGGGGATCTCCAGTTCTCTCCTAGCTCCTTCTGCTTGCGCGCCTGCCTTTGGGGGGGCCCCAGTGGCCCCACCACTTAGCCTCCAGCCCCAAACCCTTGCCGAACTGCACCTCCCCTGGGTTACTCCACCCTGGCAGTTTTGTCCTGGACGACCTCCGCCGCTATTCCGTGGACCTACGCTACTTGGTCTTTCAGACCGTGGGCTCCATCCCCGTCTCCACAGTCATCATCAGCGAGGCCACTGGTAGCCGCACCATCCTCCACGCCTACAGGTTCGTACACCTGTCTGCGCTTCACCTCTGCGCTCTGCCAGCCGCCACCGCCGTCACTAACCTCCAAGGACAGGGCCCTTCTTCGCTCAGAGGCCTGTGTGCTCCAGCACACCCTTCCCACTCCATGGGCCATCCAGGCCACTTGTGGACTCTAATCTGTGTCTCCTCCTCCTTTCCCTGGCTCGGGAAAGCTTCCTGGTGGCTGACTTCAGGCGGCGGGGCGTGGATGTGTCTCAGGTGTCCTGGCAGAGCAAGGGGGACACCCCTTGCTCCTGCTGCATCGTCAACATCTCCAATGGCTCCCGTACCATTGTGCTCTACGACACGTAAGGCCCCCCCGGCCTTGCCCTGCCACCACCCACCAATCAGTTCCCTCACCACTGGGGGCTCCCCAGCCTCCCTCGGCTGAGCGGCTGCTGTCCCCCAGAAATTGCCCCCATACTCAATGACTTCTGAATTGTTTTCAATTGGGGGAGAAATGAGGTGGGAAGCTGTGGGCTCCCCTCTGCCTGGTCAGCAGCAGTGATGGGCAGGCACACCTCTTCCAAATGTAATTGATGATGTGATCCTCCATAATTAGACCATTTGCAGCGTGGGTATGGAGAAAATGTTCCCAGGAGGGGAATGGGAGACACAGGTCAATCCCTGTAAGCCCTGAGGGGCCAGGGCCCCCCTAGGATTTCCAGGGTCAGCCCCAGAGTTGCCAGCCTGCAGCATGGCCCCGAGGACCTGAAAAGAGATGGATGTTCAAAAGAGGCCAGGTGTGATGGCACATCTGTAATCCCAGCTACTTGGGAAGCTCAGGCAGGAAGATTACAAGTTCGAGGCCAGCTTAGGCAATTTAGCAAGACTTTGTCTCAAAATAAAATGTTTTTAAAAGGCTGGGGATTTAGCTCTATTCCCTGGGTTCCATCCCAGTACTGCCAAAAAGAGTCATTCTACATCACGAAACCAAACACTCTACACACCGAACACATCTCCCTGCACCATTGCAGTCACTGCTGAAGGGGTGGGAAGGGGAACTTTGGGTCCGCAGATAGGCTCACTTGCTGTGGTGCTAAGAGGGAAAGTGGTGAACCTCCTCCATTGTCCTAAACTCCTTGGGAGAGCCCCTGTGGGCCTCAACTCTTCTCCTTGCTCCAGAAGATTCTCAAAGATTTAGTTTCCTGAGGACTTGATATGTGCTAAGTATTGTATGAGGGCCCAGGTCCATCTGCCCAGGGGTTCAGGCTGCCCTTACTGCCTAGCATGACCACTGGCCATGGAGGATGGGGAAGTCAAGCTAGGGCAGTGGTGGCAAACCTATGATGTGTGTGTTGTGTTTTTCTTTTAAGACAAAAGCTATTAATGTATGAGTAGTTTTTCTAAACTAAAACATCAGTGTTCAGGTTTAATTACTTTGTTGGCGTGTGATAAATAAGTGGGTTTAGGGTTGCAGTTTGACACTTGGTCTCTGAAAGGCTTGCCATCACTGTCCTAGTGCCAGCTTTGTTCCCTGGGCTCTGTATGTCCCGATAAATGAGCAGGCACACCTCTGTGCTAGAGGTGACCTTGAGATTTAGCAGTCCTTGCTGTCTGCAGCAACTCTGATTGAGGACACAATGTGGGTATTCACAGGAAGGGAGGGGAGGAGATCTGAGAGGAAATGTTTATTGCCCAGTGGCCTCTGTCCATAAATGTGCACATACATAACCTTCAACTTCAGTTGGCTTGGGTGTAAGGGAGCTTCAGGCTCAGGTACCAGTGGGGTTGCAGCTTCAGAAAGGCCCGGGCCATACCACGAGTACAAGAAGAAACAGAACGCAGAGGGAAGATATCCATTGGCTGTGTGTAGGGGTTTGGCCAAGGAGAGTCATTGAGGCAGACCCCTTTCTGGGTCTCCAATCCTAGGCTAGCCAAACTCTTCCTGAAATGCCAATTTTAACTTCAGAGTTGTGACAAAGAGCTGCCCAATTCAAGTCATGGTGTTCAGGGTGCCATGGTAAAGATCTGAATACTATACACCAGAAATTAGCAGCATTAGAGCCTGCGCTCTACAGTGTGGCTATGGGCTTTGTAGCTCACCAAGGTACTACATGCTGGGAGCTGTGTGCCTACAGCAAGAGGGATTCTGGGATATGTAGGCCCTGGTATTCAGAGCATTCTGGAAGATGTAGTCTTCTAGGCCCACAGAGTTGGCCCCTTAACATGTGCAGTAGTTGAGTTTCTCCTTAGATAATGTCACAGCATGGAACTCAGAAAGGGGCCCCTCAGCAAATGGGCAGGGATCATCCTAGAGCTGAGCCTCAGAACTCTGAGCTTCTCAGCTTCCTGCCATGCTGCCAGCAGCACTAGCAGTTATGGGATCCCTGAGTTAGACAGCCTGGCTATGGCTGAGCTCACTCTGATCTTTCTTTTTTATCCTTTCTGTCTCATGACATAGGAACCTACCAGATGTGTCTGCTAAGGACTTTGAGAAGGTTGATCTGGCCCGGTTCAAGTGGATCCACATTGAGGCAAGCCCTGACCTATCTACTTCTAGGGGCTCAACCTGTCAGCCCTCCACGTGTTCTCCTTCCTTCTTGGTTTCTCTAAACCAAGAAGTACCCCGCCCATATTCCCTGTCCAGCCTTTGTTTTCAAGTGAGGAAAATAAGGCCCAGAAAGGCCGAGTGACACCACAGGGTGCAGGCACAGGTGGTGCTAAGCAAAGCCCAGTGGTTTTGCATTGTTTTTGTTTTTTAATTTTATGGCTGCCTCAACCCCTCCGACTCATTTCTGGCCGGAGGCTGGCTCCTTAGAGCTTGACCTGCTGTACTTCCCGAGCAGGAATGAGTGGGCCTGACCCACTTCCAAATACAGGGAACTAGAAGCTTTGCTCCAAGGGAGAAGTTTTGGTGTCTGGGTGAGAAGAAACCTTAGAAGTCCTGAGGTTTTATTTATCATAGCCCTGTCATTTAACTTCCTGTAGGCCCTTCAGAAAGGCTTTTTTAAAAAATATAAAAATGTGTTTATTCACAGTCCTTGGGAAGTTAGCATTCCATCAGAAAATTCTTTATGAACCAAAAAGAAAAATCACAGTCATAGCTTATGCCAACCAAAAATACGCATCTGATGTATAGAAACCTTAGAAGTGTTACATGGGCAGCGTGAAGAGAGTAGCTCTGAATATTTCCAGGGACACAGCTGCAGCTTTAATTGACATAGTACAGAATCAGCTAATTACTGTATTAACATATTAAACTCATTTATTTCTATGAGATTACAATAAGTACAAAATAAAGCTACAGTTGTCTTTGTCTAGCAGTTCAAATATTGAAAGGACAATGCTTTTTTTTTTTTTTTTTTTTGGTACCGGGGATCGAACTCAACCTTGCTCTTGGGAGGCAGGTGGCGGAACCACTGAGCTAAATCCCCAGAACCTCATGTTGTTTTTTTTTTTTAATACAGAAAGAACTTTAAATTACTATTTAATTTTGGATCTTCCTATAGTCTTGAAAACTTGCACTGTCACTGTTGCAAGCTTCCTTTGAAAGTCTTCTATTCTTTCATCTCTTCCTTTTTAGTGTGAAATGGGAGAGCTGGTTTATAAGGTCTTCGAGGTCCATGATAGCCCAAGAATTTTGTAATGCAGGATAGGATCCAGCCCAGGCTCCCAGCTCTTCACCAAGTTCCAGCAGGTGGGGGGAGAGTGAGTTGGATCCGCTGGACACTGCCTAAGCTGCACTGTCCTTCCCCAGGGCCGGAATGCATCAGAGCAGGTGAAGATGCTGCAGCGTATAGAGCAGCACAATGCCAAGCTGCCCCTGGAGCAGCAGATCCGGGTGTCTGTGGAGATAGAGAAGCCCCGAAAGGAGCTGTTCCAGCTGTTCAGCTATGGAGAGGTGGTGAGTGCCTGGCAGCCTTAGCTTGCCACATCCAGGGAACTCAGTTCTTAAAGAGAGACCCCGGGCTTACTTGCCAGGCTCCAGTGGCAGCTCTCGAGTGGCAGGGGTGTAAAATGGCAGAGCTCCAGCTTTCGGCCCTGCAGTGGCTAAAAAGGAGATGTTTTCTGCTCCAGGAATAAGGATGCCTAGAAGACCTGGACAAGGACCAGGCATAGGTATCGCCTCTTTGGGCCCCCTCTCTTCCCTGTTGTCTGAGGTTCCAAGTCTCTCCCGACTTGCAGGGGTGGCAAGTGTGGGAGCCAGGAGGAGTGAAAGGACTTGCGTGGGGTAAATGTGGGCAGGTCTGGCTGTAAGCAGAGTTTAGGGCAATCCCGGATCACAGTCGCAGCTAACTGGAGACCATGCAGCCACTGGTCCTCAGCCTTGGTGAACAATTTAAAAAGAAACAGAGGCTTGAGCCCCACCCTCTTGGCTTTATTTGTTTGCAGTATTGGGTGATGGGGATGAGCCCAGGGCCTCACACAGGCCAGGCAAGTGCTCTGCCACTGAGCTCCATTTCCAGCTCCTTGCTCTCTACTATTTAACCCACAGGGCTAGAGCCAGGACTTCTCTCTCTTTTTGCCGGGGTGGGTACCAGGAATCAAACACAGGACCTAGGGCTTACAAGGCAGGCAGCGGAACCACTGAGTTAAATCCCCAGCCCAGATAATAGGTTTTCTTTTTTCTGGTACCAGGGATCAAACTCAGGACCTTGCACTTGCAAGGCAGGTGCGGTGCCACTGAGCTAAATCCCCGGACTGAGATTTCTCTATTTTTTTTACCAAAACAATCTCTGGAGATTGTAATGTGTAACTAGTGTTGAGGAAGTTCCAGAATCCCTGCTGATTTGTTTTACAGGTTAAGAAACCATCCCTAGAGGGCATAGTTGTGCTGGGAAAACAAAACAGCTTGCTCCTGAGAGCCACTGTGGTTTGACTGGGCAAGGTTGATTTCTCCCCAAGATGGTGCTCCAGGCTCTCTCTGGGTCTTCAGTTCACTAATCTGGACCAACTAGTCTAGGACAGGGATGCCAAGCCTTTTAGAGACCAAATACCCGGACTGCAACCCCAAACGCACTTACTTATTGCAAAGTGCCAACATCACAACTAAATGTGAATGCCGAAGTTTTAGTTTAGAAAGCACAACTGTTATCTGATGCTCAGCTGCTGGGGCCACTTGGCTCGCACGCTGACAGAGGTCCGTGTGTGCCTGCTGCAGCCCACGAGCCATAGGTTTGCCACCACTGGTCTAGGGCTTTGGTGTTGACCCACAAGGCTGTATCCTAGCTTCATTTTAAGCAGGCGTAATAACGTCTCTCTGTGGGACACCAAGATGCCATGTTGGGCATTTGTGCCGGTTGGGCGAGTCAGGTTATAATATGGGGGTGACACCAGGCTGCTGGTGGTGAGTGACTACACTCAGGTGGCTGCCAGCCTCTCTCCCACTGCCCACAGGTGTTTGTTAGCAAAGACGTGGCCAAGCACTTGGGCTTCCAGTCAGCAGCGGAAGCCCTGAGGGGCTTGTATGGTCGTGTGAGGAAGGGGTGAGTGGAGAAGCCAGGAAGGGGCCCTGGGGGCTGTGGGTGGACGCTGGGTTTCTGCCCTGGTGGTCTAGGGGAGGTGGTGGGCGAACGCCCTGCTGAGTGCAGGTCCTGCAGGGCTACCCTTATCTGTGCCTGGGCTGAGGAGGGCGCTGACGCCCTGGGCCCGGATGGGCAGCTGCTCCACTCGGACGCCTTCTCGCCGCCCCGGGTGGTGGACACTCTGGGCGCCGGAGACACCTTCAATGCCTCTGTCATCTTCAGCCTCTCCCGGGGTGAGTGGGCCGGTGGGAGGGGCCAGGGCTGGGCCCTGCCCCGCTCCAGAACCCCAGGCTGACCCAGCCACTCGGTGCTCCCCTAGGGAACAGTGTGCAGGAGGCGCTGAGGTTTGGTTGCCAGGTGGCTGGCAAGAAGTGTGGCTTGCAGGGCTTCGATGGCATCGTGTGAGAGCTGTGTCGCAGGAGGCGCCGTGCTCACCGTCCCTGCTGGAGGTTGGCATCACAGGCTGCCGCCACCTCTCCCCTCCATCCGGGCTGGCGTCCGGGCTGCCCTGCTCCCTGGGCAGATGCTGGCTGTGGGAAGGACTCTGTGCATATCCTGTGTCCTTTATCTGTATCCTCACTGCTGCAGCTGCAGAGCCTCAAAGCAAATAAATCTCCTTCCCCAAACCAGCTTCTTGTGGCCATCTCTTGGGACCACTTGAACTGCTCCAGTTGGAGACTCCTGAGGCTTTGACTCTACAGCCCTCTGTCTTGCTCTCCATCCCCCAAGTTAATCTCGCCAGCCGGGCCCAGAGGAGCTGTCACCTCTGCCTGGCCACAGCAGTCTTGCCACTGGCTGATGTGAGAGCAGGAGGCTCAGCCATCCTGGACAGAGTAACTGCTGAGCTGGGGAGAGGTACAGACTCGGGGTGTCCACAATGGGAGGAGATTTAGCTCCCCACAGCCCAGCTAGCCAGCCAGCCAGCCAGCCAGCCAGACACTGAGAAAAGCTGTGCTGTGCACACCCTGCTTAGTGGCCCCGGGAGTTGGGGTCCACATGGTTGAGCCAGTGACGGGCCAATGGGCAGGGAGCCTACTACTGTTCACTTCCCCAGGGCAGTCCAAGAAGCTGTTGTCCCGCTGCCTGAAAGCCCCACCATGCATTGCCTCGGCCACAAATGGGACCCAGGTACACAGCGTCTCTGTCCTTCTGGAGGTCACATCCCAGTGACTGCGGAACTGGGAGCTGACTCCAACGTGGGAGTTGTGTAGGAAGAGTACCTGGTGTGTTCTAGGCTTTCAAAAAAGAAATGGTTCCTGTTAATATTCCTGGAGCTGGGTACACACCTGTAATCCCAGCATTCTGGGAAGCTAAAGCAGGAGGATATCAAGTTCAAGCCCAGCTGTGACAATGTAGCAACTTAGTAAGACCTTGTCTCAAAATAAAAATAAATAAGTAAGGGGCGTGTGCAGACATAACTCAGTGTTACATTGTTCCAATGTTACCCTAGGTTCAAGCCCCAGTACCTCCAAAAAATTACCTAGGGGTAATAGGGGACAGATACAAGGTGATGGGAAACATCTGCCCGGAGTTGCAGGAGGGCATAAGGTGCCTGAATGCCAGGCGCAGAGAGGGCAGGTGGATATCTGGGCTCCAAGAGTAACTTTCTTCATAGGGTATCTGTAGCTGGCTGTGCCTCGGGCCATAGGCGCTGCTGCACCCCTGGGCCTGGGGATACAGAATCTCTGTCTTTTCCAGAGTCCCAGTCCTTGCTCCCCGTGCCCCTAGCTCTGGATAGGCTGGGCCAGCAGACAGACACCCAGCAGGTGTATTCATCTTGTCCTTTATTGGTTGTCTGGGTCCCAAAGCTGTCCTTCAGTTTAGCCTCTCCCTGAGCTGCAGACAGACCTGCCACCTATTGGGGTCGCAGAGGGGACACAGAGGTGGTCCTCGTCCCAGCAGTATTCACCCCACCCTTCAGGCTTCCATCCTGACACTGAGACTTTGAGGGGTGCAAGCCTGTATCCCTGGGGTTCACATCTCAACATTCTCCAGTTGGATACTATGAGCCTCAAGCTCATGCGGGGTATTCCTGGGCTCCAGTGTTTCTTCTGGAAGCTCTTTGGCTTCTGCCCCACTGTCCCTGGCCTCTGCCTGCCCCCCAGCATCACCTCTGGGACCTGGGGCTTCTCCTTCATTCTCTACCTGTCTCCTATCTCCCTCTTCGGGACCTGGGGTGTCTCCTTTAGCCCCTGATTGATCCCCAGCCTCCTGGACAGGCTCCAGGGATGCCCTCCTGGCCTCTTCCTGGTCCCCAGCTTCTTCTCTGGGTTCCACAGCCCCCTGAGTTTCTTGTCTCAGTGGGTTCTTAGCTAACTGGGGCTGCTCCCTGACAGTCTGTGTTTTCTGGGGTGCTGCAATGAGGGACTCTCTGTGCTCTGTGTCCCTGAGGGCCTCTTCTGGGAAGTTGATGAGCTCCGCAGGGGAGAGGAGCCCATCCCCATCCAGGTCCTGTGTCTCGAGCACCTTGTCTACAACCAGGATCACCTGTGGAAATACGGAGCCACTGTGGGGTCTCCCGTGACTAGAGGTGTCCTCGGGACACCCATGCCCCGCTCCCCTGTCATGCAGGCTCTGCCAGGAGATCCACCCAAAGCCCCAGGCAGCTGGATCCCCTGCGGTCTCCCACAGAGCTTACTGGGTTTGCAGGAAAGTTGGTCACTCCATGGGCCAGCGCTGCTGTCAACATGGACAACAGCTCCAGCCCGTCCAGCTGTCCGCTTTGGTCATAGTCATGGAGAGCAAAGAGGTAGAGGAGAACTAGGGAGAGAAGCTGGATTAGAAGAGGGCTCAGGAGCAGTGGAGAGGCAGGAGTCAGTGGGGCAGCCAGCTCTCAGGCCTGGCTCTGGCTGCCCCGGCTCTGGCTGCCCCGAGGGTCCTAAGCCCTGGTCCACCAGCCAGCCCCTCACCCTGTTCCCTGTTCATGTGCTCCGGGTCCTCTTCCATCCTCTCTAGTCCCTTCAGGTGGTTCTGCAGCACTCTGTGGGAGAAGGGGCAAATCAGCCTGGGAGAGGCCAGTCCGGGGCTCAGGCCTGGCTTGCCCCACCCAGCTGGGCTACTCACCGGAGCTGCTCCGGCCCTGGGTGGAAGGGGTTAGGCAGGGGCTGGGGCTGCACTTCAAGGTCCTGCCTGGAGGAGGGAGGAAAGGTCCAGCCTTGCAGAGAGCCTGTCTGAGGGCCCAGCCTCCTGGCACGGTTCTCTCCTCAGGCCCAAAGGAGGTGCTCCCTCAAATTGAAAAAACCTTGGGAGGAAGAGGCCCTTCTGGTCGTACTTCCTTAGATTCTTTTTGAAGCTGCCTTATTTACACTTTTAAGTGAAACCCAAAGAAAATATCAGGGAAGGTAGTGGCCAAATGAAGCCACAGCTGATACGCACAAGTTGGAGGCCCAAAAAGAAGCCCAGTGACAGCTGAGAGCCAAGGGCTGGGGCTCCAGGGGAGCCTGGTACACTACCGGGTTTACAGACCCAGCTGGCTCCATGACTAAATGCCTCCCTTTCACGCGGAGGGCACACGTGTCACTTTGGGGTTTCAGTCTTCTCAGGGTCTCTTGACCTGTCTGAAGCTGAAAATGTGCTCCTAGTTCCGGATGGGGCTACACATCAGGCCAGGCCTGTTGCAGCCACTTTGGTCACTGCTGCCAGGTCTGGCAGCGTTTTCTGCATCTGTCTCCTCTCCTGCCCAGCATATCCTCTGTGCAGCACAAATAAACAAGAGAGCAATTCTAACAAAATAGAAACAGTGCCCTAATGACCTTCGTTCCCACTGCTAGGACTTGATTACAGGACCGCAGCCCCTTCCCTGGCCTCTCGCCTCTTCCTCGTACTTCACACCACACTAGAGCTGAGCTCTGTTTCCGAAGGGATCCAGCAAGCAGGTCCTGAGTGCCCAGTTTGTGGCATTCTGACAGGCACACAGCAGGTGCTTGGGGTGGGTTCATACACAGATCACCCCAGTCTCCTGGCTCCCCAAGATCTACCACACCCTTGGGTTCTCCAGAGTAACCCTGTCCCAGCCCACGGCCCTGTCCTCCTGACTGCCTTACCTCATGGTCCCATCCTTGGGAGCAGCCCGGCCCAGGGTGGGCAGCAGCAGCAGCGGCAGCATTAACACCTGAAACGTCCAAGGTGACATCCTGCCTGGAACAGGAACTAGGAGCAGAATTAGGTCAGGGAGGGCGTCTGCCACAGTGTCGGGGTCAGTTGGGTCAGAAATAAATGCCTTCTCTCCCTGCCTTTACCTGCAGCCCAGGGGCAGGACCTCTGCTGGAGGACTCTGCATGGAAATCAGGGATCTTCTCTGGAACCGTTACAGTTCGCGTCTAGATGTCCCCCCAAAGCCTCATGTGCTCACAGGCGGGGCTTTTCGGGGGTGGCTGAATCTCAGGTGTGTGAATATGTGTTAAGGGTGTGTGATAGCTAACTTGGTTTAGCATAGTTCTGTGTGTGGATAATGGGAAGCCCCACCCTGATCGTGGGCGGCACCAACGAATAGGCTTTTAGCCCGGAAGAGATATAAAGGGTAAGATGGAAGGCAGGCTGCTGCTGGCGATACCTGCTGCTTTCTGCCTGCCCTGCTATGGGCTGCTTCTCCTCTGCCGTGTCCCTCTGCTGTGTCACCCTGCCTTGGAGCCAGGTGACTGGATTGAAACCTCTACAAACTGTGAGCTCAAATAAACTTTTCTTCCTTTAGCTTTTTTTGTTTCTGTTTTTGAGACAGGGTCTTGCTATATAGTCCAGGTTGGCAGTCCTCCTGCCTCAGCCTCCCTAGTGCTGGTATTACAGGAGTGTGCCACCACGCCTGTCACTCTAACTTGTGATTGTCAGGTGTTTTGTCCCAACAAGGAGAAAGTAGCTAAGACAGGAATTTTGGTCAAAATAAATCCTACTCTGGCTCGAGTATATAAAGTGTGTAAAGGGCCGGGGATTTAGCTCAGTGGTGCCACCGGTCCCAAGTTCGACCTCCAGTACCAAAAAAAACAAAATAAAATAAATAATTGGAATCATACAAAAAATAAATAAATGAAGTGTGTAAAAGCTGAGCTGTTCTGGCGGAAGAGGCCCCTCCCCGCAGCCCATGCCTCTTGTCCCTGGCTGGCCCTGTGATGCTGAGAAGCACGATTTAAATATCCTGCTCTACTCCAAGCCACTCAATTCACAGAAAGACGCTCAGCAAACCTCGGGAAAAGGCCATCTGAGTAATGCAGAGTCACAAAAAGACCAAAGTTGATACGAAAAGGGTGACAGATTATTAGCTTGTACCTGCTAAAAACCCACAGGAGAACAGATCCAAAGTCCATGCCCAGGCACAGACTGAAAACAGCAAATCAGGATCAAACCAACAGTGGCTCTGGGAGTTTCTGTTTACTTAGTGCCCTTAGGAAAACAGATCTCAACATAAAGTGAAAACCAGGAACTTCCGCCTCAGATCTGCATTGTGTGGGACCTAGGGCAAAAACAATTGAGTATGTGAGTCCAATGTAACACAGATCAATTGAAAACACAGAGCTCTCTTGTTTGTTTATTTGGTACGTGGAATTGAACTCAGGACCTTGCCCTTCCTTGCAAGGCAGGCAGTAGCCACTGAGCTAAATCCCCAGCCCCAACGCTTTCTGATTGGTCCCAGGTGTGTGGACATATAATGAGCTTACAAGGGAGCAGAAGCTTTCCAAAGAAGAGGCCTGAGACCCCAAGGCCATCTCTGGGAACAAAATCACAACAGGGCTGTGGATTTAGCTCTGTGGTTCCTCCGCCTGCCTCACAAGCGCAAGGTCCTGAGTTCGATCCCTGGTACCAAAAAAACCACAAAAAACAAAATCATTAGATGTTCGATGGTCTAAGGAGAAGATAAGGAATTCTCTGACATGGTGCCCTATGTGCTGTCTAGAATGGATTTTATGAGAGGAAAATTCATAGCTTTCAGCAGCTCCTCTAAGAATCCCATATCCCATGGGCTGGGGATTTAGCTCAGTGGCAATGCCCCTGCCTCACGAGCACAAGTTCCTGAGTTTGATCCCTGATACCAAAAAAAACAAAAAAAACAAAAAAGAAAGAATTCCATGACTCAAGAGTCCAGAACTACTGCCAAAGTGGCCATCAGTCTCCTAAGAGATGAGGGTTGCTGCAGGTAAACATCTGGATCTGGAGAGATAAACAAAAATTCTGCCACCTTGAGCTTCCTTGAGCAAGACACAGCAAAACAAGAAGGTGAGATCCTAGAACTTGTCTTCTTTCTCACTGCATATGATCAGCCCCAAGAGCTACAGTAAGTACACATAGCTTGTTGGAGTCTATAAGCCCCAGTGGCCAAAAGGATATTAAACCTTGGCTGCCCTGAGTGTGACCCGCAGCATCAGCTGGCACAGCAGGTCCTTGGGTGGAGTTATTGTGCCCAGGAAAGGAGACAAGGTCTTGGATTCATTCAAGGTGAGCAGCAGGCAGGGAGCTCCCCCTCCCAACATGGAACCTTCTGTGTGGCTGCACACTTACTACAAGGGCGAGCAAAGGATGGCCAGGGAGAAGGACAGCAGAGAATCGTGTCCCTTGACTTTGGTGCTAAGCAAAAGGGAGAAAACCAAATCTTCCCTGAGAGTGCTCTAATGTAGTACGCCTCCAATAAGGCTACCTGTGGTCCAAAACACCTAAGGCAGATCATTTATTCTGAAGTGGAACGGGTTGATAGTGGCCACAGAGGAGAGCATGTATTTTCTCTGCGGGAATGCAACTCCAATTGAGGCTTCAAAGATTTTTCCATGGGTAAAGGTTCAAGAAATGTGAGCCCGAAGCCAAAAAGTCATAAATGTACAAGGAAATGAGACATTGACTAAGAGCCAACAAAACAACAGTTGGCAAAACTAGGCCTGCACAGAATGAGTGTAATACTGAAATTATCATGTATAGAATATAAGGTAAGTATGCTTCATGTTATAAGGAACATGAAAGGAATTAAAGGGATGCTCGAAACTCTGAGAGAAATGAGAGCATAAAAATGACCAAGTTGAACAAAATATAATCTTTAGAAATCAAAATTTATCTCAAAATGCAACAGGCGAGTGAGACGGATTGGACACAGCTGATATGAGAATGAGCTGGAATACAGATCCAAATAAATTATCCAGAATGTAGTTTATTGAGTTAAAGATGAAGGAAACATAAATAAAGGTTAAGTGGATGGCGGAGATAACAGATACACTTGGACAGGAGCAGGATTGGAAGAAATAATAGCTGAGTTTTTTCCCAGTAGGTTGAAAATCACAACTAAGTCAGTCAGGAGGTCCACAATCCCACACAGATTAAACAAGCGGAAAGACACTCTGGGCCTGCTGTTCTGAGGTACAGAGCATCACGGAGAAGAACACTGTAAAAGCAGTAGGCCAGAGGAAAAGGAATTATACCGGCAGCTGCTTGGCCGGTCCCCGAGGGCGGTGACGTGGGCCAGGGCCACGGGCATGGGCAGAGGTGTGGAGGCTGCTGTGCTACAGCTGCTTTCAGCAAAATTCCCTTTCAAGGCTGAGCAGCAGACAGGGTGCTTGGCATCCCTGTGGCCCTGGGTCCCATCCCCAGCCCTAAACATCAAAACATAACTCTCAAGGAGGTGAAATAAAAAGTTTTTACATGAACAATTTTGAGTGTTTACCACCAAAATTCTTGTTTTTTGTTTGTCCTTTGAGACAAGGCTTCACTATATAGTTTGGGCTGGCTTTTAACTCACTATGTTGTCCAGGCTGGCCTCGAACTTGCAGTGATTCTCCTGACTCAGCCTCCTGAGTCTAAGATTGCAGGTGTGCACCACCATGTCCAGCTAACATTCCTGAATTAAAGGAAATTCCAACTTATGTATTTCAAGAACAGTTTCCTACAAAGGTTTGAAATACAAGGGAAAGTGTTGAGCAAAGAAATGAGAAAATATGTGAGTAAATCTAAACAAATGCGGACTGTTAAGCAATGATGATTATGTTAATATATGGGGCAAAGAGGTACAATAGTCTGAACTACAATACTGGACACCATGTAAGGAGAAAGGTTGGGAAGAGAGTAGACATATTGATTAACTTTGTTAAATAGATATACTTAAAATTTGTGTGTTATTTTTCTCTCATTGCTGAGACAAGATACCCGACACCCAAAGTTAAAGGGGAAGGTTTATTTGGTTCACAGTTTGTAGAGGTTTCGGTCTACAATCGACCGGCTCCAAAGCAGGGTGGCAGAGGGGTCACAGTTCTTGGCAGCGGAAGCGGCAAAAGCAACAGGAGACCTTAACAGTGTCTTCCTGCGCCTTGTGTCTCGTTCAGACTGCTCAGGGCAAGTGGCACTCACACCCTTAATCCTAGCGCCCTGGGGCCCAGCACTGCACCAGGAATCAATCACACGCTCCAGATTCAGTCACCTCCGAGAAAGCATGAGGCTTTGGGGGACATCCCAAAACAAGCCACAAAATAGTTAAGAAAAATCACTGAAAAGAAATAGAAATGGAATGTGGAACCTCAAACCACCAGAGGAAAAAAAATGCATGGAATTTTAAAAGAAATTGATTCAGTGGCTGATGTAGCTCACTGGTGCCTGGCAAGCATAAGGCCCTGAGTTCTATCCCCAGTAATGCAAAAAAACAAAAAACAAACAAACAAAAAAAACAAAAACAAAAAAGAATTGATTCAAAACAAAGGCAGGAAATAAGACCAAAACAAAATTCAAAAAGCTGGGCATTGTGGTGCACACCTGTAATCCCAGCTATTTGGGAGGCTGAGGCAGAAGGATCACATGTTAAGCCCAGCTTGGTGGGCAACATAGAGAGAAAATAATTCAAAATAAAAATAGAAAAGTCTGGGATGCAGTTTAGCATGAAGGTCCTAGGTTTAATCCCCAGTACCCCCCCACACACACAGAAGAAAGAAAAACCAAAAGGAGTAACAAACTAAAAAAAGATAAATAGTATAAAATAAGATTTTAGCAATAAATCTAAGTATATCAGTAATCACAATAAGTATAAATTATACAAACTTGGGCTGGGGATTTAGCTCAATGGTGCAACACCTGCCCAGTAAGCACAAGGCCCTGAGTTCGATCTCCAGTACCGCAAAAACCAAACAAAAAAACCAAACTCATCAGCTAAGAAATAAAGGTGTAAGAGGCCATTATGAAATGACAAAAAGTTTAATTCTCTATAGGAAAACATAATAACTCTGAATTTGTGTGCCCCTAACAATAGAGCCTCAAAATGTCTGAAACAAAAGCTGGTATAAGGAGAAAAATCAAATCTGCCATTATAGTGGGGAAAATGTGTCTTGTTTAGTACTAAGCAGAGTAAAAATCAATAAGACTACAGAAGGGGCTGGGGATTTAGCTCAGTGATTCTGCCACCTGCTTCGCAAGCACAAGGTCCTGAGTTTGATCCCCGGTACAAAAAAATAGGACTATAGAAAACTTGAGAAAAGCCTAATAAGCTCGAGCTAATGAACATAGATAGAACCCCACTTCAATCACTTAGCAAATACATATTCTTCTCAAGCACACATGGGAAATATATATATATATATATATATATGATAATTTATAATA